GGGGTGTTGAGATCATTGACATTGTAGACGTTCCAGCATTTGACAACGGAAGCGTGTGAGCGCCAATATTGGCAATATTAGCAGTCAGCAAGCAAGAAGTAAACAGCGTTTAGGCCAACATATATCAAAGTATCAAAGATGTACTGAGTGAACAGGAGCTGTCTGGGTTTTCATTATAGCAGAGGCACTTTGTGTGCAATAAGGGCTGACTTAGCATAACAATGGGCAAGTGGTGTACCCAGGGTTTTTTCTCAATGGGGTATTCCAGTAATGTAGTATTACATTAGTATTGATTATTGTAGTATAGTTATGATTTAGCATTAATAGAGGCACATAATAAGAGACATAATAAAATAGGATGGCCAAAATTGAAGAAGCAGAGGCTGCGATGGGCTATGATCTAGTATGGGTCAAGATTTTATTTAAAAACACTGAATCCTACATTTCCCATGATGCAACTCAACAGTGTCATTCATTAGCAACATGGTTATTTTTTCCAGTTTTGAAAAGCAAATTATATTACCATAAATAGGAAGTGATTTACATTTGATAAATCAGAACTTCGTTTTGTGCGCGTCTTTCGTGTTCTCTCCCCATCATCAGTAAAACAAACAGAATGTACGCCAGGCTTTCATATTAGATTCAATGTTATGAGTAGGCTGCAATTATAAGAACATACGGACATTTAGGCTTCCTCATCAAAGGTGTACTTCATATATAAATGTTAAATAAAAGATTGTGGTAGAAATTCTGTGAAATTGTTTGGCGACCCTAATACAAATGAGCCAGTTTTTAGGATAAGTGCTCTGGATTCACAAAAGATATTAAATAGCGGTTTTCACATGCAGGCTGAGTAGCACTCACTGGGACTTTAAGTAATAACTAATGTTATTGTCTTCCCGCCACATCATAAGAACTGCCAAGGTAAAGCTCATCGGGGATAGGTGAACTTTTGATAGCCTCTTTTTACGTCTCAAACTCTCGATCTGTTCCTGGTAAAGCTGGGCAGAGTCTGCGCGGATTAAGATTGATTTGAACCCTGGATGAGTCGCCACAAAGCAATTCCAGAATCTGGCCAAAATTCCTGCAAGATTGGTTGTCGTTTGACATTCAGTTTTATTTCTTTTTTTTAGTTTTCTGGCATGACGTTGCATTTTTGTTCTGTTGCTGGATCAAGCCGACGTGCTCTTCAGGTGCAAAACATCTTAACAATGCATTCCAGCAGCCAAGGAAAATACATTTTTAAATTCATGCATACTTTCAGCACTACCTTAGTGTCTCTTTAAATGTGACAGGTGAGTTGTTTTTGAACCAGAGGCCATCGCCAGGGATGAGCTAATGTCTGTGTGATGACTTCATACAGGAAGTCTAAATAAGCTTAGCAGGAGAGCAATATAGGTTTCCCCTTGAGGACAGACAACAGGATGCCCCCTCCTTCTCATCCTCTCTCTCTCTCTCTGTCTGTCTGTATCCTCCTCCGTCCATCAGTGAGAGAGGCACGGATGACTGAAGGGGAGAGGACAGAGAAGCTGAATGAATGGGTTTCAGGGAAAGCAAGTGGCGCCACAGCCACCCTTGTAATGTGGAACTGGTGGCCAAAGCCTCATGTGTAGGGATTTAAAAGCCTCAGAGTGATTCCCTTTAGAGTTCTTGGAGGGACATTTTTCTGACAGAGTAGTAGCTTGTTAATATGTTGTTACAGTAATCCTCTTATATATCTAAGAGTTTCCAGGATGGAACTGTAGTTTTGTTTGGTGTAGTGGTACATCTGTTTCATTTGAAACTCCACTTTTTGTTTGTTGTGTTGAAAAGTAGCACTTGCTGGTTGGTATTGTTCGGTGGAAGCTCCTCATCCTGGGGGCGCTGTTTGAATCGGAGGGTGGGGTGTGTGTGTGTGTGTGGGGG